GCCACAAGTTACTGCTCCTAGACTATCAAAACTGACATCGATTTCCATGCCTATATCTGCCTCCTGGCCCTTGAAAAAGGTCCTGGAGACGCCCCTTCAAAAAGGCAAGAATGCTCCAGGGGGAGAAATCAAGAGAGCAACACCTACGTCCTTGCACACGTCTCTCAATCTGGGGGAGGCAAATTCTTCTGCTTCTTTTGCTACAACTAGAAAGTCTTTCATAATGGAGAAGATGGGGGATAAGGACATTGTTAAGCGAGCATTCAGGTCATTTCAGAACAATATCAATGATTTAAGGTCTCCAAGTGATACGAAATATAGCACATCGAAGCAGGTATGCAATTCTACGTTGGTTACATTTCAATGCTTCTTCCTTTTATACTATGAATTTTGATTTTCTACCATTACTTTAGTTCCTTTCGTTAATTGGGTGGATATTTGGTTTTAAAATATTTGATTAGGTGTCATCTGCTGCATCTGAGCAGAAGGTTTCTTCTCTCACCCCCCGGAAGGAGAACAAAGGGTAATAATACATGTTTTCTCATATCTGTTATTAAATGCAATTAAGACATGAATTGGAAACTTATCAATTGTTAGATTACTGAGAGGGGAAAGATCGTTTCAGGTCTTAAGTTGCATGTTGTTGTTTACATATAATAATGCGATATCTTTGTTTTGCTACAGATTTTAAATTTGTAATCTCTAATGAAAAGTGTAGCTCCATGTTTCACTTAATAGTTTTCCTAAGTAACTGGTCCTGAATACAGCTCTGAATTGATTGTTTCACTTATAGCTTTGGTCTTAAAATTCCAACTGTCTATAACTCCAGGAGAAAATAATTATGATTTTATAGTCCTAAATTCTTCTTGCTATTTATTATGTACTTAAGTCTACAATATAGAAATTTTCTTGATGGAGACAAGGTAAAAATATTTTCATAAACTCTTAATTGTGAATTGTTATGCAAGGACAAAATTTCCACTCAAAATCTTAAGAAGAATCCATCTTTTAGAAGGAACTCTGAACCTAAATGCCATTGCTGATACACTCACACTTTTATGAAAGTTTACTGTGGACGTGGAACATGATTGTGAACCATTTTGTTTCTCCCTACCCATTAGTCCACTAATCTTCTCTTCAACTATGATTACTGATTACTCATTTGAATTGTAGACCGAGGAAGTCTGCAGAAGAGACAGTTACTCAAATGGCTCGATCTGGAACTAGATCGATGTCTGAGTCCTCAAGGTGAGTTTTTATTATCATTCTCTTATATTGATGTTACATGTCAATTTTATATATCACACTTTTCTTTCTTCTTTTTACCCTTTTTTATCTACTATTTGATATGGAAAGCATGTGCTTCTTGTTCTTTCTATTGTCTGTGTAGCTTTATGAGGTTGAATCGTGATTGATAATGATGAACCACAGACAGATTAATGTGATCGAGGTGGAATTGTGATTGATAATGATGAACTGATTGATTAATGTGATTTCTATTTTACATGTGTATTTTACACTGTCTTTCTGTCATCAAGCCTAACATTTACATTAAGAAATCTTTTTCTGAGCCCCTGTTTGATCCCCATTATTTAAAAACTCATTTTTTTCTTCAAACTCATCAACCATACATACTTTCAATAAAATAATTTTACACATAAATCCAAAAAATTTTCCAACTTTTTAACCACACATCATAAAAAAAATCAATATTACAAAATCTATTCTGCCAAAAAAGGGGGTAAGTCTGTACTTGAGACCAGGTTTTGTGATGATCATTTATGTAAAATGGAGCCAAAATCGAATAAGGTGCTATCTTACTACATGTAGTGACATGAAAAAGACATGTAGAGATCTCTTCCTATGCCTATATGTAGCAACTTGTGCTAGTGGAAATAACCAGATACAATGTGTCTTTAGACCAGCAAAATGGTATTTTTCTTTTATTAATTTTTCAAGCCGTGTGTCATAGTAAGCATTTTTTTCAATGCTTCTAAGTTGTGAAGAAGGAAAGGCTTATCTTTATTACTCCATTACTTTCTCAGTAGAATGATTATCTTTCGAGGTTTTCTTCTTAGGATTTTTTTCCAATTCATTCTGAACTTTTCAAGTCTACAATAGGTTTCATAAAGATTCTGGTCTTGATAGGAAAAACGCAACAGCCGTCTCCCACTCTATTGGCTTGAGAAATGATGAAAGAGCTGAAAAGAGAAAAGAGGTATATACATTAAATCTTGCCTTCTATTTTAGCTTTTCCATAACTGTAATAGGTATTTTGAATATACGAGTCTATTCTCCAGTAGGCACATTAACATAAGTTGAAACAGTTTCTAAAGAATTTGGAAGCAAAATCAATTGCCCGAGAGACTGAATGTGCACAACCTAGTGCGAAGACGAAGGTATCTTCTATTTGGGTTAAAAAAAAAGAAAATTCCATTTCAATGCATCTGACCCAACTACGCGTGAAAGCATGATCTAACAAGGCATGTTTGATCCAGGAGGAACAGGGAGCTGAGATAAGAAAAATGAGACAAAATCTCAACTTCAAGGCCACACCTATGCCGTCTTTTTATCGGGTTCAAGGGAAAGGTCATTCCAGAACGGTACAAATCTCTCTCTCACTCTCACTCTCACTCTCTCACGCACATATACACACTCTCTCACACACAAAAACACGGACGATTTGTCTAGAAAGGTAAGCTTTCATACAAACCATTTGCACCCACTAGACATGGTCAACTTCTTCCATTAATCCACAAGCTTTTTTTATAAAGACTCATAATCATGTAAATACAAGTTATTTTTCTCTCATCCCACCATATTAATTACCCCATTTGTGGATTAAAATTCTTCTATGGAAAAGTGGGGAAGACAAAAGAACGTGAAAGTAAAAGGGGAGGGGGAATGTTGGTATGAGATAATTATTATAAATGGTTGATTTACATCTTCGTTTATTGGGAATATGATAAAACAGGACAGGGATATAACCTTTTTTTACAAGAGCTGTTGACTTTGACAATTTACCTGAAGAGTTCCCATGTCATGTAGTTGTTGGAGCTTGGAAATTGTTGACCTTCACTAACAATTTGTATCTTTCCTTTGATCTTTATCTTTACTTGAAAGTTCTTGATTGCTTTTCAAAGTAAGAAATTACTGGGAATTTGATAGAATTATTCATTTAAATCCGTGGATTAAGCTACTGTAGATATGTTGATGAGAATTTTGCTTATGACATGAACCTATTGTTGATTATCATGTCAAAGTCATACGTGAATCTATGGTCAGTTTTTTTGGGGTAATTAGTGATGGCAAAATAAAAAAATTCTGTAGAAATTATATGGACACCTGTAAATTTATTGATCTTGTTTTAGCTTCACAATTCTTGTTGATGTCCGCAGTTTTGTTATAGATGGGCTATATCTGTAGAAATACATTAGCTCTAATGAAAAGTGGTAAAATCCACAGTGAGAGGAGGAAGATTTTTAGTTATTTGTAGATTGAAAGGAGCCATTTTGTTAACCCCTTGAGCTCTTTCTTAGGGGATGTTCTGGGTCGTAGTTATGGAGAACATTACACGGTAAAAAAGATGAAGTTTCAACTTATTTGTCGTCTTCAATCTTGTTTGACAATATCTAGTTCACGAGTTGAGATCTGCTATCTAAAATTGGTTATTAAACTTGCTGACCACTAATAATTTATTGGCACATCATTTTACATTTATTTTTAAGCATAAGTGGCAGTGAGAAAAAGTTGGATATGTTAATTTAAAGTGATGTATCAATGAATATTGGATGGATAATAAGTTAGATAGCTAATTTTGGACAACAGATCTCAACTCTAGTTCAATATACCAAACATGCCACTATTTATCGATTAATGGCACGCGGCCCATTCGTTCTTGTTGTTACATGATCCATTTCCTTTCTTCTTCACCATGACTAGGTCATCATTTGGTTGGTCCCTCAAAAGTATTATGTTTATCAACATCTTTTTATCCAAATACTTCTTGATATCCATAAGTACTTTTCACTTATTCACCACTCGTTTCTATTTGTTTATGCTGAAGGAGGATCAATCTTAATTCTGCCATTTCTTATATTCCCATGAAAAGGGAACATCAAGTTTAATTTGTTTAAAAATTTATATATGAAATTCTTGGTTAATTTTTCCAGGAAAATGTGTTCAAGAGAAAGTTCATCATTAACAGCAACATTAATCTATGATTTACATAATAGGAACAATGAGAATGGGTAATCATAAATGTTGCCACACATGTTGAAATGCACAACCACTCTAGAGATCTGCATATTCATATTTGCAGCGTATTACAAGGCCATTTTTTTTCTCAGGTTCTATTAATTTATCTGGAAGTTGGTTTTCATTGGTGCAATGTTTGTAACATTTTCTTGCTCATCTATGTTTCTCAGTCCTGATTTGTTTGCAAAACATTAGTGCATCTCAAACCCCTTTTGTGCACCTGTTAACCATCTCATTTAAAAGCTCAAGCTGTAAGAAAAGGGGCGAGACACGTACGTATTTATATGTGCTTTTCAACATGCCCCCTTATGTGTAGTTCAGATTCTTAAAGGCTTGACACCTGACAATTTTTTTGTAAGTGGCAATATCCAAGATGGTTTAACGAATGATTATGAGATGACATTAAATACTCAGGTTCACATTGATATATGCATATTAAGATTTAACATTATTATATTTTCAATATTGTTAAACAGCTGCATGAGAATATTTCATGATCTATGACTTTTACGGGCAAAAATAATATGAGATTTTATACCATTGAATTGTAATGTGATGTGAATTCGATTCCATGTTAATCATCTTGTCTCAAAGCTTAGGTTGTTAAAGAGGGGACGTGTATTTCTTTGTATGTTCTCTTAAATGCTCTGGCTTGTTGGTTAAGTTCTCTTCAATGATATGGATTTATTTTTCTTTTCCGAATAAAATTGCAGGATGTCGCAGACAATAAGATCCATCCTCGACCAACTTCTAGTAGATGAGAAATTATTTTTTCCCATTCCATGAGGGAAAAATGCATCCTTCGTCATAGAATATTGATGGCACACAGTTGTTGGAGTGTGAGTTGCACATATGACGAGAACAAGCTTCTCCACCAGCAGCAAGATTGGCTTATGAGATGCGGGATTTTGTCTCCTGTATTAGAAATCCATAAATCCCGTGGAGGAGATGAAAAGAGTATGGCTGTAGTTAGTTTAGAAGAACTTGTATATACAAAAAGTTCACATGTCTGTGTGTACGCGCAGATGGATAGTTTTCTAATAGCCAGGGAGACAGTAAGAGTATTGCACACTACACACGCCTTAGAAATTTGTTTGTTTAGGAAATAGAAAACTTCGTGCATACCTTTGAACTTTTCGAATGGATATTGTATTGCATTGTATGCGTTGAAGATTTCTGTTTATCGTCTTGAAAATGCAATCTTTCGATCTTTATCTTCTGTCGTTGATACTTGCTTAATTTTAGTTCGATCATCATCTTTTTGTGCCAGTAAAAAAAAAAAAAAAACTCTCAATACATTTGAAAGAATTTTTTACATATAAATCAAATAACGAAGGCATTTGGAGTGTCAATTTTATGCATGTACAAGACTCCGAGGTGTGTGGATAGCTTACTTCTGATGCAACCGTGCCAGTTTTTGTCCATTTCTTGGTTCGAGACCAAAGATCTGTGTTCGGTTATTCATTATCCGAGTCACTGGAACTATTCTTTGAATGGTCCGACATGAAATTGGCTGGCAATTTTGGGAACCTAAACACCCTAGGCGATTCGGAGGATGATGTTGATCCTGCAGAAGATGGTGCAGGTTTTCTCTTCTGAACATTTCTTGCAATATCAACACAAACTTGATCAACCAGTCTTAGGAAATCTCGAACAATGACAAATAATTGAAGTGGATTTGTCCCTTTTTCCTTTGATGATCCCGCCTGATAATAATTTGTTGTTTTCTTCAGAAGTCCCATCACTCTTGTTTGCTCTTCCTTTACTGCTTTGATTTCTTCTTCAGCCCCCTCTACAAATTTTTTCATTTCCTCTGCGAATTCTGTGTGGTGATCACATTGTGCCACTATTTTCCGAATTTCGTTTATTTGGGATGATAATCCTGTGATTGATTTGACGAGAGAATCGTAGTCTAATGTGGCTGCTTTCTTCACATTCGAAAACTCGGAGCTCAGGCCACCTATCACAGGCAAGCCTAACATCATGTATTCCTTTTCTCTATCAACTTTTAGTACTAAATTATCTGAACTTTGGTTTCCGGGATTGATGTTTTGGCTATTTGTTCGACTCATGCTGCGATTTCTGTTAAACAAGCAGCGTTTTCCCTCAGCCCGGACTACTTCTTGGACGACAAATTGAAGCAAAGTTGTGGTTCCGTCGCTGCTTTTGACATCGGATAGTTTTCTAAGAGCTGCAAGGTTGAATGCTTGTGCATTTCCTCTTGATGTCCCTGCATTCAAGCGATTCCCGGCCTTAAGTACTGCTTCCAAGAGTTTCAAGAAGAGCCCTCGTGTTCTAAGCTCGTCGCAAGCTGATTCCAGTGTTTTTAACGATTCTTTGAAACTCGAAATCTCTGTGTAATAGTTTAATCTGAAAAGCATGGCGTTAAAATGAGTAAAGGCCGATGGAAAAGCTTTGAGGAGGTGGTAGAGGAAGGACTCTGCATCAGCAAGTCTCATTGGATCTCCATCAAACGCGAGGATTTCAGATGTTTCTTCTGCTGTTGGAGAGATTTTCGTGAGCTTTTCAAGAGTATCTGCACTTAGGCCATCTCCCTTGACAAGGGCATCCACGATTTCTTTGTGCAAAATGCCTAGTGATTTGAGTACAATTGCTGTGTTTTGGGACTTTCTGGTGTCGAGAATGAAAATCCGAGAGGCTAGACCGGATCTATCCCCTCTCGGACTTGTTGAATTACTGTCTTGTCGAGGAGATTTTCGATTGGTGGCAACATATCCAAAGAGAGCTTCCATAAGATCAGCATCAAACCTGAATTCATGTCAGAAGAAAACTACTGAGAAGAAATAGATCAAAACAGAGAATTTTTGGGATGAAAAGTAGTAAAGAATATTTACTTGAAAGAGCCTTGATCAATTTTATCCCACACCATGGAATATTCTGCATTCGGGTTCACCTTATCCCAGTGCAAGGGCTTAAGTTTCACCTTTCCATTCCCATTGCTCGACGTGCCTTCTCCCAACGAGGACGAGTGCTTACTGTCACTAGGCATTCCCTTCGGGGCCAGGGGCTTCAATGATGAAACCGCACCACTTGCTTTAGGCGGCGGTGGTGCTTGTGGAGAAGGACGTAAATTTGATGGAACTGGAGGAGGTGGTGGTTGTGGAGGACGTAAATTTGATGGAACTGGAGGTGGTGGTGGTGGAGAAGGACGTATATTTGATGGAACAACAGGAGGAGGAGGTGGCGGTGCAGCCATTTCTGCCTTCGGAACTGCCTCAATATTTATTTGCAGAGGCCTTGGTACTGGTGGTGCAGCCATTCCAGATGAAAGTATAGGTGCTTTCTTCATTCTTGAATCATCCTTGTCTATCCAAACAGAACTCTGAGAGGTTGAAGATTTTCCTCTAAGCAAAGGAGTTTCATGAATAGGTGATCCATATTTCCCATTTCTATCATCTCCACTGATGATTCTTTTTTCTTCTTCATTTACTTGATCATATTTTAAGTTCTGAAAGACCTGTTTTTTGAAGCTTCTTTTCTTGTCTCCCCCTTCTAAATTTCTCCAATAAAGCACATCCAATCCATTCTCATCAATAATCACCCCCTTAACATTACCATCAATCCGCGTAAAATCATTTCGAGGCCGAGGCACCACAGGATTCTCAGCATATGGATTGACTTCAGTTCTCTCCCTCTTTCGACGTGAGCGCCTTAGGAGTACGAAGAAAAGAAGCCCCGAAATAACAATAGTGCTGGCAGCAGTAGCAGCCACTGCTTTAGCAACAGCCTTTTTCGATGATGATTTTCCTGGCGGCGCAGCTGGTTGTGATGGCACTGGATTTGGTATTGGTGAAGGACTAATAGGCTGATCATCAGCCGGAGGAGGAGGAGGTCGACGAGGAGCCTGAGGAGGAGAATATGGATATCGAGTTTCGATGTTTTGAGGAGAATTGGATTGACAAGTAGATTGAGGAATTGAAGAAATGATGAATAGAAATAATAGATAGAGAATTGCGGGTGGCTGAAATTTTTCAGCCATGATATCTAGGAAAGAATTGAGGAGAGTTTGATGTTGAATCAATTTTTGGATGTATTTTGATCATTTCTTGATGTACTTCTTGATAATGCTATTTTCGGTTTGGTCTAGTTGCTGAAAGTTTCTAAGTAGAGCAGTTGGTTTTTTATTGGATAATTTGGAATATTTAAACCCTCCCAGGTTTTATATCATAAAATGACCAAAATACCCTAAGACAATCCAAGTTATAAGAATAAAACTTCAGAGTATAGTACTGATAATTATGCTCAACGTGTAAGTTAATTGATTGTTAATTCAACAATTAATATTATGGATGTTCCATTACTCTTTCCATGATTCCGAGTCGAAAATGTTGAACTAGTCTACCATACGTATCTGTATTTTGTACAATCGTAGTGCTAATCGCTTCGATTATTCTAATCCAAACATGCGATTATATTAATTGCCTGATGTTGTAAAGAAAATGATGTCTTGCAAGTGTACAAGAAAGTCAGAAGAAAGAATGCATACAAAAAAGAATCATATTTCAGCAATGTTAGGTCATTTGCCATGGAAAGTGCTCTTTGTATTCTACAAAGGAATTGGTCAATTCTTTGTATGACTATGCTGTTAATTTCCCACAAAACAATATTTTACTAAAAAAGGGTTAAAATTAGATTTTTAGTAGATTGTGATATAAGTTTTTGAAATGTGTGGTCGAAAAGTTGTGGGACTCATAAAAGATGTAGTTAATATTGATTGTTTGACTTTGACTTAAATTAAAATCAGATTTTAATTCGTACCAAACGTACTCTAAGTATATAATATGTTTCACAATATTGATGCGATTTTAATATAATATATACAGAAATGAGACGTTGCAGTGATTGATAGATTTCCTTTATGGGAAAAACCCAGTAGGTGAGTAATGAATTGAATAGAGTGACGGAAAATAATTTTTAGATAATTTATATAGCTAATTTAAATTTATTGAAATAAAGTTAAATTTTTTATGTTGACTGTGATAGACCGAAAAAGAAAGCGAGAGTCTGCGATAACAATAATAAACTTAGTTTTATTCTCAATAATTTAAATTCAGCTATACGAAGCTAAAGTTTATATCATCGCTTCATTTGTTAGTTATACAGGAAGATACAAAGAAAATTGATCTTTAAAACTTCAAATGAAAATAAATGTATAAAAAGTGTTATGCCTCGCTCTATAGGCTCCACTTCACTGACCCACTGAAGCCCTTACAATGAAGCTACATGGATCATTGGAGTCTATAGAGTAGAAGTGCCAAAGCCATACTCACCGAAGCAATCCTATGTTAAAGATGAAGCCCCAAAGCTAAGCGCATTTGTCTGTCGAAATGACAAAGCTCAACACAAGTCAAAGCCGACGCCCAACTATAGCAAGTGACGACCCACACATGAGGACTCTGAATTTATGAAAATTTTTTTTGGAATGATTGATGGGAAGTGGGAACTTTGTAATGAGTAAAATGTCAAGTTTTGTCAGTTTAGATGATAGGACGATTGTTATTTGTATGAGCATTAAATGCGCCGCAAACTAGAAGTTCAAATTGAAGTCTAGAATTGTATGCTTCGGCTAAGGGAATGAGGCCACGTAAATTTTCATCCAATGGACACCATTTCATTTGTTACACTATAAATACTCCCTTTATGTATCATTTGGGGACTAATGCAAATCAATACACTTGAAGCTATTATTTGTCTTCTCTCTTGCTGATTATACACTTGTTTTACTTGAGTTAGGATTATCTAGCTTTAGTCAAGTTGTTGACAATTGGTTATTATCACATAATCATTCTCAAAATATATTGCCGGAGTCCGAACATATTTGTCTCGTGTTATAAAGCTTCTCTCACGTCCAAACTCGAAATATTATTGACTAACATCCTATCAACACGTGTTAGAATTTGCTTATGTGTGCATGAGTGGATTCGATATCTGTTATCCACGTCACCCTAACAGAAAACGAGGTCAACAAAAAGATATTAATTAAAGAAAAGGACCTTTTAAGCTATTTGTATTAATAGGTTTTAGAATTAGATTGCTACTTGTGAAAAATGATAGTTGAATAAAGATTGTGATGCAGTGGTTGAAAAATGTTTAGTGTTATTTAGCCTCAGTTTGGATAATTGATAAATTTGATTAAAATTAAATATTAATTTCAACAATATTTTCATAATTATTATTTATATATTTCATGA